CACCCGTTTTCCAGCCCAGAAGTTCAGAGGTTCTGTGACCTGCAGGGTTCCGGTGGAGGCTCCGGACGCCGTGTCCAGGATAGATTGGGCCATTTTCACGGAGAATGTGCCTGAAAGTTGCAGAAAAATGCGATATTAGAAGAAGTGTGAGCGCTAGCAGCGGGGGCTAAGCTAGCTGTGCCATGGAGGATGGCACGCGCTCAGACAGCACGCGCTGCTCCTTATTAAACAACTTCTGGAAACTTTTAGAAGAAAACGGTACCGTTAGAGTTCTGCAGGGAGAAGCAATGCAAGATGGATCCAGAGTGAAGCAACAGTTCAGTTCAGCTGCTAGGCCACGCCCCCACACAGGCCACGCACATTCCCCCTCCCTCAGAGGAAAATCTCGGACCTGCATCCATCTTATTGAGCAATCTGATTAAAAACTGATGAATCAGTCTGCAATGGTTTTCCTTATCATAGAGAACAATTAACTTGGTTTACAATCAAGTTTATGATCTCTCCAACTTTTATTAGGTCTCCTGTCTCAATATACTATCTAAAAAACAAAAAAGTACATTTTGTTCCATTATTCTTGGAAGTAAATAACGCATTTGTAAACGAAAATGTGAAAAAGAAAGCAGTTAAACATCAGTAAAAATGTTTGCTTTGAGTTTATTGAATGAAAAAACCTTTTAAAGATTTTTTTTTGCTTATTACAACTGTATATATATATATATATATATATATATATATATATATATACATTTTTTTTCATTGTTGTTTCTCTTTCTTTAGATTGAGTTTTACGAATTTATTTTTTCTCAAATTACATTTTACATATCAGATTCTCTTCCATTTAAACCCAATAATAATGCTACTCTTGACCAATGAAAAGTAGTTTCTAACGTCCAGCAGACCAATCGGATGCAGCTTTGCTCCTCATCTCAGAAAAAGAAGAGAACCTGATCTGCAAAACTTAGTCGGAAAATAATGCGATTTGTAAAACTCAACCTGAGAAATAGAAATTAAAAGCTTAGATGGAACATCCATCACGCTTACCCCAAGCAGGGTCACGAGGAGTGCTGGTGTCGATCTCCAGCTGTCTACAGGCGAGTGGTGGGGTCCACCCTAAAAAAGGTCGTCAGTACCCGAGTGAAGTTGGCCCCCCCACCTTCTTCAAATCAGACAAAATTTGTGTCAAACGTTTGTGCAGCAAAAATTTTCGTTTGTGTTGCTATTGTTTTAAAGATATAAAGAAAGATTTTCTACAAGGTCATCAAAGGTCAACAAGCCCCCCCCCACACACACACACTTTCTTCAAATCTTCAAATCCAGACCAGCACAAACGGAGCTGAGTTAATTGACACCTTTCGTCTGATTTAAATGGGGGTGGCGGGGCTGGTTGACCTTAGATGACCTCTAGAAATCTTTTTTTTATATCTTTAAAACGATAGCGGCACAAACGAAATTTTTTGCTGCACAAACGTTTGACAATAATTTTGTCTGATTTGAAGAAGGTGGGGGGGCCAACTTCACTCAGTAGTCGTCAGTGCATCGCAGGGCAACACAGAGGCAACCATTCACACACACAACTCACACCTAAGGAGAATTTAGAGAAGCCAATCTAACAGTCAAGTTTTTGGACTGTGGGAGGAAGCCGGAGTACCTGGAGAGAACCCACGAACGCTCAGGGAGAACATGCAAACTCCATGTAGAAAGAACCCAGGCCAGGAATCAAACCTGCAACCTTTTTTTTTTTAAATGTCTAGTTTCATTTCTGGACTGCAGTATTTTTCAAATTCCTATTAACGCCTCATGTTTTTTATGTTTTGGATTATGGTATTATTATGGGAATCATTTTGTAATCAAAGTTAGAGAACTAAAAGTTTTTGGTTTTTTTTGAAGAGCTGATGGTAAACCAACCGTTTTCAACCTTTTGATTGTATTGGTATTCTAATCTTAAAGGAATAGTACACCCAAAACATGATTAGCCTTCATTTTCTACTCACCCCCCATGCTGAACAACACTCTGGAGTACTTTTTTGATATCTCAAATGCATCTGGAGATCTGGGAGGCTTCTTGCTGTCTGCTGACATTCAAATAATGGAGGTCTATGGCGCCCGAGGCAGAAAGGTCCATAAAAGTCCACAAAAAACGTGTCAATATTCCTCCATACTGCTCGTCCAATGTATTCCAAGTGTCCTGAGTGGGTAGCATCCAGAATTTACTCGAAACGAAGTCATTTAGAATGTTTTAGAGCATAAACAGTAGTGTATAGGATTTCCTGAAAGCGCGCGCATGCGCGTTCACGACACTACGGAAGCCGGCAGACCAAACCAGATGAAAGTGCGCATTCAGCGTTTGCTCTGCCGATAATACAAGCGTAGAAGAAGAAATGTGCTGTTTACCTGTGCAAAGAAAGAAACAACGAAAGAAAAATGTCTGAGGACTTCCGTGTTGAGGAAGAGCAGGAGTTCTTTGCCGAGCTGAATGCGCACTTTCATCTGGTTTGGTCTGCCGCGGTTTCCGTAGACTCCTGAACGCGCAGGCTCGCGCTTTCAGGAAATCCTATACACTACTCTTTATGCTCTAAAAACATTCTAAATGACTTCGTTTCGAGTAAATTCCGGACGCTACCCACTCAGGACACTTGGAATACATTGGACGAGCAGTATGGAGGAATATTGACACGTTTTTTTGTGGACTTTTATGGACCTTTCTGCCTCGGGCGCCATAGACCTCCATTATTTGAATGTCAGCAGACAGCAAGAAGCCTCCCAGATCTCCAGATGCATTTGAGATATCAAAAAAGTACTCCAGAGTGTTGTTCAGCATGGGGGTGAGTAGAAAATGAAGGCTAATCGTGTTTTGGGTGTACTATTCCTTTAATAACATGCTTTAACTTGCTGCTGTCTTCAGTGTGCAAAGTATTAACAGACAAGTTTAATTAGTCCCTGCTTCAATGGATCACACTGAAACAGAGTTAAAATGTCAACATTCATTTCAGAGCACTTAGATGTAGAGATGAGACCAGAGTGGAAATTTTTGGTCATATAACACTGAAGCAAATTCAGAATATCAGGGTAAACACATGATATCAGCTGTTGGGCGTAGTGGAAAGCAAATCATGTTTGTTTAAGTAATGAATGTGTGGAGGTCTGTTTAATGTCCTGGTGCGGAAAAGGAAGCACCAATTAATTTTTTTTTTTAACTTTTGCTGCAGTAAAATGTAATGGAAATATTATAGACTAAATGCAAACTGATGCAAGAATGCAGAAAACCAACACAGCAAAAAAAAAAGAACTTTCAACTTAAAAAGTAAGTAAGCACTGAGGCCAAAGTAGAGATTGTTTATAGCAGCGTTATAACCCTCTGGGACCTGCCTGAAAAAATAAAAATATAAAAAAAGGAATCTGTTGACTTTGTTCTAGTTGTTCTTTTGTTCACTGTAGGTTTGATTTAACTTAATAATAAAAACAGGGTTAACGATTTAATTTTTTTATTATGTCTTGATTAGAAATAGACTCAATAGATCAGCCAGTTCAGAGTTAATCTATGCTGATCACAATGATTCGACAACAAAATGAACGAACACATCATCAGTATTTTCCAAATGAATCCCTGAAGAGACCAGAGCTGAGCAAGTCCTGAAAAACAAAAATTTTTGGTACAAAACTAACCCTGAAATCCCACATACTCCGTCAGCGCTCCGCTCCGCTCCGCCCCGCTGCGCTCCAGACCGCCTGCTCAAAGCAAAGCCTACAGCCGCCGCTGTGGTCCCGTCCGCTCCGCTCTGAGTTCCTTGGAGATCGTAGAGGGCATGCGCGAGATGAACCAGGGTTTCCGCGGATCATTAAAAATAATTACAATTCATTCATTTTTTCTTTAAATCAAGGCCTTAATTGGCACTAAAATTATTTAAATATGTTTATCGAAGTATTCATAATTCTTTAATAAAAATGCTTATAAAAACAATTTCGTCAGATATATTATATCGCTATTAATTTGCGTGGAACTGATCATAAAGCCGTATGTTCAGAAAGGAAGCTTGAGGTGGAGAAAAAGCTAGAGGATATATATATACGTATATGTGTGTGTGTGTGTGTGTGTTTACATACATACATACAGGAGTCATGGAACTCTGCTTACAGCTCCTTCATATTTCATGTACACTAATAACTTGTGTACATGATTCTTGTTGATGGCATTAAAATCATTTCAAATAGCATTAAATTAGAGTCACACATTCCTGTATGAACCCTGTGAGCGCTTAATTTAATATGACATATTAAAAAAATCCCACCATCATCCAGCATATGTTCAGTTTCTGCCCAAATATATATATATATATATATATATATATATATATATATATATATATATATATATATATATATATATATATATATATATATATATATATATTTGTAGATTTTTGTAACGGGGATAAGGATAATTAAAAACTGCTTTTTTTGAATGAACTTGTTCACTACTCTCAAACTCAGCATCTCTTTTCATTCCTGTAATAAGAAGTTTCTTTTGAATGGATTTGATTAAAGTTTAAGTCCCTTGGTATAAAATAAATATTTTGATGGAGATGAGAAATCTGCTTCCTCGTTGGTGAATAACCAATAGTTTGGATCCAATCATTTAAATAAACGGTGTTAGTTTTGTTGCTGCTATATTTTAATTTGACGAACCGGAATTTGTCGATGTTCTTTTTCCTGTTTGGTGCGATTGCAATTGCGGATCTCGACCTGGCCGGACCGGAGCGGAGCAAAAAATAGCTCGGCTCCGTAATTTGTCGGTGACGGACGGAGAAGACGTACGTGGACGGAGACGTGCGGAGGAGTAGCGATGGATGTGGAACAGCTCTCATTGATTTCCATGAAAGACAAGCGCTCCGCACGACGTACGTCAGCGGGGCGGAGCGCTGACGGAGTATGTGGAATCTGGGGGTGACTTCTCATCCACATCTAAACGGGATGGAAAAATAAAGACTGCAGATGTAATTAAATGGTACTGAGATATAATCATAAAAATTTTATTAATATGTTAGTTATTCAAAACAGAGATGATGACATCCAATAATACTGAAAGGGCTTCAGACCTTATTGTGCCAAAATACCATTAAAATCAATACGAGCTAAACTGTGTGAACAGAATTTAAGGAACTAACTCTTTTTATCCCTCCTCACCTTTAAGTTAAATATAACAACAAACAACAAAGAAACCAAACAACATGGTAGCTGCAACATGTAAGACATTAGTTCCAGCTGAAACGGTTCCATCTATGCTCTGTGGAGGGCGCCATCGTCACCGGCTGATTAGGAAAACTTTGCCGCCTGGGCAGGAGGTCCCAGGAAGCCGCCCGCCTGTTTGGTGGCAGCTCTGGAGGGAGCGAGTCCGAGCATCTTCTGAATGTTCTGGAAGGAGGACAGAAAGCGTGACATTAAATCAGAACGCACCGAGAGCAGAGCGATGAGTAAAGCCTGACCAAATGCATTTATTACCGGTAATTAAAACAGCGAGATGCAGGAAGCAGAAACAATAAACCCGCTGCTTTTTATATTCAATGATAATGTTCGTTTTATCTGTGAATTCTTTAAAAGAAAAAAGAAAATAAAGTGGATTAGGGCCACTGGAAAAAAAAAAAGTTAACTGATTTTTTACTTTTATTTCAGTTTAATATGGGAAAAAAGTCAGAATTCTGACATTATTCTCAGAATTCTGACTTTTTCCCCCCATACTAAACTGAAATAAAATTTAAAAATCAGTTAACTTTTTTTTTTTCCACTGGCCCTAATCCTTTTCCGTAATCTTGAAAGGGTCATTGCTACAACTTTATCATCATGATTATTAATATAAACATATAGATCCACCGAAAAGTGGTTCAGAAAATTTCATTAAAACAATAAATTTTCAAAATTCACACGAAAGGTCTACTGTGACACAGAAAAAAGTTTAAATTTTATTGAAAAAAAAAATATTTTGTGTAAATCATTTTTTAAATAATTTGTTATCAAATACAAATAAAATGTTGGTTACAATGCTCCCGCACTGGGAAAAATATAAAAAAAATGATTTGTTGTTATGCTGAGAAGGCTGGTACAGAAACATAAGCGTTTGGTTCCTGGAACTAATTTAGAATTTGACATTTATATCTGTAGATTGTAGCTATGAATTTCCTATCAAAACAATTATTAGAAAAGAAAATAACTTTTATAATTGTGCAGAATCAAAATATCACCTTTAATGAAAAAAGGATCCAAAATAAATAACTATTCACTTCTGGTTACTATGCCTACATTGAAATGAAAGGAATCTCTTCACCACCAACTGCTTTTCTTCTGGATAGGTAAGTTAAATGTTTGCTAATGCTAAGCAATTATTAGCATTAGCCGCTCTCCTCTGGTAGCACTCTTTACCGTCACCCTATTTGTGCATTTACAACCAGAAATTACTCCAGGTTGGCAATAAATCCTGTAATTATGGTCCTGAATGTCCTTTAATCTCTAGAGCATTTCTAAATAGCAAAACTTGTCATTATCTCCTTTCTATCTCTTCTTTCTTTCATCCTCTTTTTTTCTTTTTTCCTTTTCTTCTTCTGTTTTTCTGCTCTATTTACATTGCAGTGTCTATATAAACTGTAAAGCTCCCTGCATAATTATAATAAAGCAATTTATATGCATGAAACAAGTGGAACATTATGGCAATAGCCGTACTGCTACACTTGTGAAAGTAAAATCTGTTTGGGCTCTTTTTGGCATCAAGACAATTATTCTTATTGCCACATTGCCAGACAGGACACTGTTAAATAAATAAAAATAAATAGCAAAACTACATCCTATAAAAAATGGATGCATTTATGCATTCTGTGCACTGTGGATCAGTTTGATCTAAGGCTGAGCTATTAATCGATATTATAGCTTTATCAGATTATTGTTTATGAAAATTAAATTTTGGGAAAATCTAGACTTTTAAACTGATCCACTCTGTGCGAATCAACAGCTCAGAGACATTAGTCCCAGGAACCGGATGGTAAACGGTACAAGGTATGAACGAGAGCCTGTGAGAGCGCCATCTACTGGCAGGACAGAGTTACACATGTAGTTATTGTCTTTAAAGTCTCTAACAATTTTAGGTTTTTCGTAATAAAAAAATATATACATAAGTTTCAAGTCTAGGCATTCATAATCTTTGTAAAAATGTCTGCAACGTTAAACTTTGGCCGATAGGTTAAACCAGGGGAGCCTTCACCATCAACCTACAGCCAACAACACTTACGGCACTTTACTGAAACATATTGATGTGGTTTAAAAGCTAAAACTGCTGTGTCATATAGCTTTACTGCGATGATAAACTCTCAGTCAGGGGTCAAAGGTTGAACAGACGGCAGATTGACCTGAAGATGGGATCAAAGGACGTAGAAACTGTGTTGAACTCAGAAAGCACCGCCATTCATCCATCAGAGCCCTCAGATGGCCTGCTGCTGATAACAGCAGTTTATCCACGGTCATCGTGACTAAGTGCTTCAACAGCAACAATAATCTGTTTATATTATTATACTATTACTATTATACTTATTATTATACTATTTCTGCATCATTCATCGACAACAGCTGTGCGTCAGTATTTTAAATATGAAGCATGTCGTGGACGTTGTGATGAAGATCGCTTGCTCTGTTTGGGCCGGGAGTTTTTCAGAGGCGTTTATTCCGTGCCCAGCTCCGGGAGGCAGGTGCAGACCACCCTGATCTGCTGCTGAGCCTTGGCAGATTCTTCGAACGATTTTTGGAACTTTTGCCGAAATTAAAGACTTTCTGAAACAGTCAACAACCCATTCTGCTGAATGTTACATCTTCACATCCACATAGTTTGGACTCAGTATTTTCCAATTTTTATCTGTTCTCCTGTTGAATTTTAATCCATCTGTCAGTTTCTCTGCCAATGCCCAGTGAAGTTTATCATTCTGAAATAGTGGACTTCCCTTCTCCTTCTTCCTGCTTTGAAGTCATCTTAGATCTTTGACAGATTTTATTTGTCATAAAGTTTACACAAGTGTAAAACAAAAAGAAATTTAGCTTGGAACAGCTCTCTGGTCAATTTCATTTTTTTTTTAAAGTGCAGCCTTGAAAAGTAGTAAAAAAAAAAAATGTATATATATGTATATACACTATATTGCCAAAAGTATTTGCTCACCCATCCAAATTATTGGAATCAGGTGTTCCAATCACTTCCATGGCCACAGGTGTATAAATTCAAGCACCTAGGCATGCAGACTGTTTTTACAAACATTTGTGAAAGAATGGGTCGCTCTCAGGAGCTCAGTGAATTCCAGCGTGGAACTGTGATAGGATGCCACCTGTGCAACAAATCCAGTCGTGAAATTTCCTCGCTCCTAAATATTCCACAGTCAACTGTCATCTGTATTATAAGAAAATGGAAGTGTTTGGGAACGACAGCAACTCAGCCACGAAGTGGTAGGCCACGTAAACTGACGGAGCGGGGGTCAGCGGATGCTGACGCGCATAGTGCGAAGAGGTCGCCAACTTTCTGCAGAGTCAATCACTACAGACCTCCAAACTTCATGTGGCCTTCAGATTAGCTCAAGAACAGTGCGCAGAGAGCTTCATGGAATGGGTTTCCATGGTCGAGCAGCTGCATCCAAGCCATACATCACCAAGTGCAATGCAAAGCGTCGGATGCGGTGGTGTAAAGCACGCCGCCACTGGACTCTAGAGCAGTGGAGACGCGTTCTCTGGAGTGACGAATCGCGCTTCTCCATCTGGCAATCTGATGGACGGGTCTGGGTTTGGCGGTTGCCAGGAGAACGGTACTTGTCTGACTGCATTGTGCCAAGTGTAAAGTTTGGTGGAGGGGGGATTATGGTGTGAGGTTGTTTTTCAGGAGCTGGGCTTGGCCCCTTAGTTCCAGTGAAAGGAACTCTGAATGCTTCAGCATACCAAGACATTTTGGACAATTCCATGCTCCCAACTTTGTGGGAACAGTTTGGAGCTGGCCCCTTCCTCTTCCAACATGACTGTGCACCAGTGCACAAAGCAAGGTCCATAAAGACATGGATGACAGAGTCTGGTGTGGATGAACTTGACTGGCCTGCACAGAGTCCTGACCTCAACCCGATAGAACACCTTTGGGATGAATTAGAGCGGAGACTGAGAGCCAGGCCTTCTCGTCCAACATCAGTGTGCGACCTCACAAATGCGCTTCTGGAAGAATGGTCAAAAATTCCCATAAACACACTCCTAAACCTTGTGGACAGCCTTCCCAGAAGAGTTGAAGCTGTTCTAGCTGCAAAGGGTGGACCGACGTCATATTGAACCCTATGGATTAGGAACGGGATGTCACTTAAGCTCATATGTGAGTCAAGGCAGGTGAGCAAATACTTTTGGCAATATAGTGTATATATATATATATATATATATATATATAAACAGTGATATAAACATGACTAATTTATTTTTTGTCATCTCTGGACTGTGTGTGTGTGTATAAATTGGCTTATTTAGGTTTTTTGACTGCACAGCCTTTGTCTGGAGATCTTGACTGCTCTTTTTTTCTGTAGTTTTGGTGTCTGATGACTGAGAGAAAGAGAGAGAGAGATATGGTGTGAAGTTCTTCTGAGATTGTTAAGTTCTGTTTTTGCAACCTATTTTTTTGACACAATTGATAATTTCCTAATTTGTTGGACTTACTGTTTATTCTCCACCTGTGCAAATAAAACAAATAAAGCCCATCCCTTGTGTTTGGCTTGGTAGATCTCGGCATGCCATCAACTTCAAAAGTAGATCTTGGTTTAAAAAAGGTTGGGCACCCCTGCTTTAAAGGAATAGTACACCCAAAACATGATTAGCCTTCATTTTCTACTCACCCCCATGCTGAACAACACTCTGGAGTACTTTTTTGATATCTCAAATGCATCTGGAGATCTGGGAGGCTTCTTGCTGTCTGCTGACATTCAAATAATGGAGGTGCCCAGTGCCCGAGACAGAAAGGTCCATAAAAGTCCACAAAAAACGTGTCAATATTCCTCCATACTGCTCGTCCAATGTATTCCAAGTGTCCTGAGTGGGTAGCATCCAGAATTTACTCGAAACGAAGTCATTTAGAATGTTTTTAGAGCATAAACAGTAATGTATAGGATTTCCTGAAAGCGCGCGCCGGCGAGTTCATGACGCTACGGGAACCGCGGCAGACCAAACCAGATGAAAGTGCGCATTCAGCTCGGCAAAGAACTCATGCTCTTCCTCAACACTGAAGTCCTCAGACATTTTTCTTTCGTTGTTTCTTTCTTTGCACAGGTAAACAGCACATTTCTTCTTCTACGCTTGCATTATTGGCAGAGCAGACGCTGAATGCGCACTTTCATCTGGTTTGGTCTGCCGGCTTCCGTAGCGTTGTGAACGCACTGGCGCGCGCTTTCAGGAAATCCTATTCGCTACTGTTTATGCTATAAAAACATTCTAAATGACTTCGTTTCGAGTAAATTATGGACGCTACCCACTCAGGACACTTGGATTACATTGGACGAGCAGTATGGAGGAATATTGACACGTTTTTTGTGGACTTTTATGGACCTTTCTGTCTCGGGCGCCATAGACCTCCATTATTTGAATGTCAGCAGACAGCAAGAAGCCTCCCAGATCTCCAGATGCATTTGAGATATCAAAAAAGTACTCCAGAGTGTTTTTCAGCATGGGGGTGAGTAGAAAATGAAGGCTAATCATGTTTTGGGTGTACTATTCCTTTAAGTGACCAGCTTTTAGCTAAAAGATGCTTTGCTAGCTCCAACCCTGAAGAAAAAGGCCATCTCTCAAGATGCAGGCTTTTCTGAAAAATAGCCAATCAGGTGGTTTTACTTTTTCAGGTCGGTTCCACCCTCAAAGTGATAAAATCTGACATGAAACAGAAACCGCAGCGAACATGAGAGAATCTACAGGAGCATAAAAACCAGAGCGAGGCGACAGAGCAAACGCTGATGGTTGGAATAAAATATCAGCCTTGTGGTGTTAAAAGCTGCACTCATTAATTGTTCAAAATATACGTGGAGAGCAGTTTATGTGTTTATGTCATAAATAAATCTGCTCGTATGAGTATGTATTCTTACTTCATGTCTTTCTGTTCTACTTTGAGGTGCGTTACTGCCACCAACTGGTAAGGAGTTTACCAGTTTCATCAGGGTTAGCAGATTCCTATTACTGAATGTGTTTAGTCGTAACTTCTAAGCTTGAATTCTCACAAAATAACTATATCACATGCATTTAAGCGCTGACAACAAGAAAAATTATTTTTAATTTATTCATTTTTATTCTCTTACAGTTTCAAACTCAGACACCTACGCATATGTTGTAATTGAGTCACCAAAGCCCTTTTGCTGTTTTTTAAAACTAACAAAGTCTTTTGTAAAATAAACTGAAAACAATGTGAACCTTGAACACAAACACTGAAAGTGCAGGAAGTGTGAAGGTTACCTGTCTGATGGACATGGTGCACAGGATGTAGAGGAAGATGAAGGAGCAGTCGGTGAAGTCGTCACCCAGCAGGTTGCGGTGCGACAGGCCTTGAATGTAAGAGACCGGCACAAACGGCAGCTTGGCCACAACCCTGCCATCGAAACTAGAGGAGCAGTTTGTTTATTCTGGTCAGTTATCACCTCTTTTATACATATTTACATCTGTTTAGACAAATGAGGAGCTTACATGGAGTTGAACATGCCCATCAAAGCTGTGAAGCAGAAGCCAATAGCAAACATGGACTTCATGCGGACCTAGGAACAAGAAAAATTGCATTAGACTAAACTTGGGCTAAATCTAGAGATAGAAAGACACAGATCAGGCTCATTATACTGACATCAGTATAACCAATCACCGATATGTCCTGCCGATTAATTGAGGCTGATTCTTAAGGACAATATTGCGTGTTCTTCTTCTATGTGCATGTTTGATATGACACAATGAGAACAACTTTTAAACCAAACAGAAACATTACCGTATTTTTTGGACTATAGAGCGCACCTCACTAAGTTTTTTGAAGGAAAAAATAAAAAAACCGAAATATGCCTATATAGCCACACCGGGCTATAAGCTGCTGATATCTACTGAACTTTCTCCCACTACACCTGTAGGGGGAGCTCTACATATAGCCCCCGGAGTAGGGACAAAAGGAATGCTAGCTCCCGTTAGCTTGTTTACTCGCAGCAGTAAGAGCTTCTACTGAAAGTTGGGGCGTCGTCAGCTCTTTATTTCAGCTCTGCAGGAGTTGAGCCCAGTCTCTTCATTGGTTCGGCAGCTTTAATGCGGCAAATAAATGTCAAAATGTGTGAATTCGGGACATTTGTTCTCCGTCGTGCCTGTTGCTAGCTAGCTAGTTGTGCTAAATGAAAATTAGCCCCTTAATCTTTCATTTCCAACTTTGACTTCCCCCTCTGGTGGTTAGGAAAAATCCACAGAGAAGCCACGCCTTCTTGTAAGCCGCATTGTTAAAAATGCGATAAAAATTAGCGCCTTGTATTCCGGAAAATAGGGTAAATTAGAGGTGGGCAACTCTGGTCCTAGAGGGCCGGTTTCCTGCAACATTTAGATTCATCCTTTGTCCACCACATCTGAATCAAATGGTTGAAATTCCTCCCCAGTATGCAATTAATTTCTCCAGAGTCCTTTTAATTACTTGATTCAGGAGTGTTAAAGGAATAGTACACCCAAAACATGATTAGCCTTCATTTTCTACTCACCCCCAGGCTGAACAACACTCTGGAGTACTTTTTTGATATCTCAAATGCATCTGGAGATCTGGGAGGCTTCTTGCTGTCTGCTGACATTCTAATAATGGAGGTCTATGGCGCCCGAGACAGAAAGGTCCATAAAAGTCCACAAAAAAACGTGTCAATATTCCTCCATACTGCTCGTCCAATGTATTCCAAGTGTCCTGAGTGGGTAGCGTCCATAATTTACTCGAAACGAAGTCATTTAGAATGTTTTTAGAGCATAAACAGTAGTGTATAGGATTTCCTAAAAGCGCGTTCACGACGCTACGGAAACCGCGGCAGACCACACCAGATGAAAGTGCGCATTCAGCTCGGCAAAGAACTCATGCTCTTCCTCAACACTGAAGTCCTCAGACATTTTTCTTTCGTTGTTTCTTTCTTTGCACAGGTAAACAGCACATTTCTTCTTCTACGCTTGCATTATTAGCAGAGCAGACGCTGAATGCGCACTTTCATCTGGTTTGGTCTGCCGCGGTTTCCGTAGACTCGTGAACTCGCAGCCGCGCGCTTTTAGGAAATCCTATACACTACTGTTTATGCTCTAAAAACATTCTAAATGACTTCGTTTCGAGTAAATTCTGGATGCTATCCACTCAGGACACTTGGAATACATTGGACGAGCAGTATGGAGGAATATTGACACGTTTTTTGTGGACTTTTATGGACCTTTCTGCCTCGGGCACTGGGCACCTCCATTATTTGAATGTCAGCAGACAGCAAGAAGCCTCCCAGATCTCCAGATGCATTTGAGATATCAAAAAAGTACTCCAGAGTGTTGTTCAGCATGGGGGTGAGTAGAAAATGAAGGCTAATCATGTTTTGGGTGTACTATTCCTTTAAGTCAAGTACATATCCAAATGTTCCAGTGTACAGGCCCTCCAGAACTGCAGCTGCCCATCCCTGTGGTAAATCATTAAAAAAAACAACTCATTGACAGTAGATTTTAAACATATTGAAGGCCAAACAGGAGCCTCTTAGAATTTCAAAGCTCGGCTGCTGAACGCACTAATGCAGTGGTTTCCAAAGTTCCTTTCTAGCCCCTCTTTGGTTTCCAAGAAAGTTTCCCTTTAAATTACCACTCTGGGAAAAAAATAACTAGTTGGAAATAAATAGTGGGGGAGAAAAATTTTATAAAACTACATATAGCTAATAAATAAACTAAAATTCTTTTAAATGACAAAACTACCAATTTTAAAGAGTAATTATTTTAAGTTTTTTTGTTTTTAAACAAAGAAAAAAAAAAGAAATTCACTACAATGTCCCATGCAATAACACAATGTCCTCCCTAGGGGGAGCATACTCCACCTTGGGAACCACTGCACTAATGATTCAGCAAACACATGCACCTATCAGCCCTCTGTATGGGTCAGCAGGAGTATCTTTGGCTTAAAGCACAGAGATGATGTAGACGGCGTTACTGTAGAAGACCAGAGAATCTCTGAGCCTCAGGAGGCTTCTTCGCCATTAAGTGTCTCACCATGGACAGGTCTCTGTTGTTGTTCTTCAGCTTCTCTTCTTGTCTTTCTGCAACAGAACAAAGACGCTGGTTGTTTTCAGAGCAGCTCAGAACATTGGACATCAGTCATCTTCACATGATCAATATGTGGAAAATCAGAATCACAAACGACCATTTAGATAATATTATAAGAGTGGACAATTAAACCGATTCAAGCTCTGCATCTTAATATGTACAGTTATGTCAAGATATTAGGGAACTGCAGTAAAACATTGGAAAGAAAGAGATTTAATTTCAATTGGAAAACAAAAAGATCTTCTGTTTTAATTAAAGAAAATGTTTTTTTTTCCCTTTGGTCCTACTTTGTCATTATAGCTCTAAAGAGTATAGATGTCAAAGTTTGATTTGATAACATGAAAGGTTTGATTTACGCAGTTTGGATTCATTGAAAATATAATTAATTAAAAATTATTTATATTATTTTTTTTGAGTTCATCTTAAGTTTTAAACCTATTTAGAGTTTTTTTTTTTTCGATGTGGCTTTTCCTCTTTCCTATAGCTGGATCAAAGTTTGAATAAATATTCAAACTAGGTGGTGACATCATCTAGCAGCCTTTAGGACAGCCAATAGCGAGCTTCCTTGTTGAAGAGTCTTTAATAATAAAAATCAGTGCTGTTGTGACCTGAGATGTCAGCTCCTTACCGATCTTCTTCTTCTGCTGTCGTCCTGCAGATTCAGTGATGGTTTCTTTCTTCTTTTCAACTGGAAGCAGAGAAAGGACAGTAAAGAACAGTCAGTCCAGCTACCATTGGATCACTGGGATCACCACAGGGATCACTTACGCTTTTTGCTTTGCTTTTCCACCTCAGCTTTTAGCCTCTTGTACTTTTCAGTTCGATAGACTAAAACCCAGGTGATCCCTGCAAAGAAACAGAGCAGAATTTGACGAATATAAATCACATTCCCTCTGATCCGATCCCTGAGTGAAAGATGTTATTTAATACAAAAGTTTAATGAGACTCCTCTGGTTTACTTGCCATTGGTCTAGAGGTACCTGCACTATAGTAGTGGGATAGACTGTAATCTCCATACCTTTGTATACACGTTTAGAAATCAAGGAAGTGTTTTGTTAACGGTTAACATTACTGATGATGATTGAAACTTCACTGCTCTGCAATAGTGATGACTGCTGGCAGGATTGATGAACAGATAGAGACCATAAAGGATCGGCTCATAGTCTGCCATGTTTTCATCTGATCCAGAGTTCCTGCATTTGTTTCATAACAAGGAAAAAATATATAATTTGAAGAGAGTTTTCGGCCATAAAACTTTTATTTGTAGATTAAAAAAAAGCAACCTCTGTATATGTTCATCAGATGACATTGATCGTTCCGTTATTTTGGCATTCATGTTGCTTTGGGGTTTGACTCATTTCCCCTCTTCCACTGTGACTGCCTTAACTACAGATATAGCACTGCGCCGCACAGCAACAGGGCTCCACAGCGCCATCAGACTGGCGGTGCAGAGGTAGCCTATTTTCCCCGATTTTTAGGTGAAAATGTTTTGCTTAAAAAGAAAAAAATCGATACTAGGAACTAAAACATCGATATTATATCAGGCAGCCCAAAAAGCGATTTTTTTCTAATCACTACGCCACATTAAATGTCTCTGGTAATACAGTGTCGCTGTTAAATCATCCCGAGTTTGTCAGATCTTTGTTTTCACTCCCAAAACGCACAAAGCTCCTGGTAAAGGGAAGGCGACCGCCTTATAAGAAGAAATCTAAAGACATCTCCTGACTAAAGTGTCTCAGCTAAGCAATTTTTTGTAATTTATTAATGTCTAGCACCTCAGTCCTGATAAAAAGTGTATTTATGGGGTATTTGGCTCAAAATCAGGGATGTGATTCATTGACTGCAACCCACCAATATTAGCTGCTATGAGGCTAATGTTTCTGAGCTTTTAGGGATGTTAAAGCACTGGGTTCACATGCAAGAGCTTTGAAAAACTAACTACTGCAGTTTAGTTTTAACCGTTCGTGTAAGGATGCGTGTAGTAGTCTATCGTTTGCTGTCTTTTATTTCAACATTAAACATTTATTGTGCTTTAAAGAAATAGAGAGCCATAAAAAGAGCTTGTTACTAAATAAAAATGAAGTCCTTAAGCTGCACAAGCATATTCAATGATTTTAAACACTTCCACGGTTTGAAAACGTCTCCCTACGGTTAAAAAAACAGTGAAAATGGGTTTACTGACAAACATTTGGCAGGTAATATTTAATTTTATTGTCATATTATATACTAATTAGTTATTACTATATAATATTAGCCATTTTATTAGTAATAACCCAATCTTTATTAAACATGACTTATTATACAGCCATTTCCATGGCTCATGTGTTTAATTAATGAAAGTAGTGTTAATTGAATCATTCCAGTTATCTGCGTTCTTTTTACCGATATAGCCTATTAGAATGCAAATAAAATCTACATTTCCTTTTTTAAGTCAATTGGTCAGAGCGGCTTTATTTTAATTTTGCTCTATAAAGCAAACATTTAGAAAAAAAGTTTTATTTACAAACAAAAATGCACATCACAAAACCATGAAGAGAAATTACAAGCAAGGGTGCAATCAGAATACAACATAGGTTAAAGAAGACACAAACAAAAATGCAAAAATAAACAGCTTCTTAATATTTTTAGTTAAACAAAGGAGAGGATTGACATGTTTTACACAGTTTGTTATACGGTAATTAAGTTGGAAGTTGGAAACGTGCTTGATCTTTCTTTAAGTATTTTATTTTGAAAAGCCATACCGGAAACGCAGAGATCCAGCCTTTAGCTCAGTCGGATAACGATAAAACCGAGACTCAATACTGACTAAAGGTTTAAGAAATCACTAGAAATGATCCTTCGGACAAACACTGATTAAGAAATATATATATCGAAGCTTATAACAACGTTACATTTGTTTACAATGCCGTGTTTCTCTACACAGCTTACCTTACGGCAGCTAGCTTAAAGAGGATTTCCACCCACCTTCTGCTAACAGCGCCGTGCAGACAGAGATGAAAACGATCAGAATGGTGTCTGCAAACATGGTGCTCATGGCGGGGCTGTCCTGGCCGAGCCGCTGCTAAAGAGAAAGCTTCAGTAACAAGTTTAACCCCGAGCTGCTCCTTCTCTGCCCGAACTTCATACAGCTCTGTCAGCATTAGGAGGGGTCAAACGGCAGAGAAACACTTCCGGTTCACCTGTAATTAGAAACCCATAGATATCCATAATGTCTCGTCCGCCCTGCTGGCCAATGGGGGTCGACGTCCGCACGTGGCGGCCATCTTCCCACAGGCAGCTCGCTCATTCGTAACATTGTGTTTTAAAGGCGCATGTACTTAAATAACCATAAGAACTCTGGAGGATCACCAAACTTCACCCCGTCTGCAAGGAGCTGAACATCCGCCTGGCAGAGGATCTCACCAGGGAGGCACGGAGGGCTGTGTGGCCCAAAGTGGAACAAGCAAGGAAAGCGGGACTAAAGACGGTGTTCCGAGGCCCCCATGCCTTCATTAATGGTCAAAGAGTCTCACCATAGACACAACCGTTCAGGGTTTTTAACCCCAAAATAAGTAAGTTTGAATGAAAAAGTATTTTCAGGGTTTTGCTACTGTCATATCTCCCTAAAAAGGAACCGTTACTGTTCTAAGCTCAGGAATCTAGTGTTGTTGATTGTTAATTTGTTTTTGCTCTATGTTCAGTTTAAAGAGCAATATTCTTTTAATTTCTGTTAATGCAAGGGGTTTAAGAAACATAACAAAGAGAAAAAGTTTTTTTTTTATTTTGTAAAGGGAAGAAGTCAAATATAATTTTTTTGCAGGAAACTCATTCTAAGAATGATGATATTGTGTTTTGGGCCAAACAGTGGGGAGATGATGCTTACTTTAGCCATGGTACTCCAAGATCAGCAGGTGTCGCCATCCTCCTAAATAACTTTAAAGGTCAGATAATGTCCCATATAGCAGATGAGTATGGTCACTGGATCATTCTTATTATTAACATTGATGGTCTAAAATTCATATTAGTCAACATTTATGGATACAACGTCCGCAGAGAAAACCAAAACCTACTGGATGAAATTGGCTTACATTTGGACAATCTCAAATTAACATTCTCAACTGATAATGTCATAATTGGTGGTGATCTAAACCTAGTTCATGATGATTTTTTAGATAAATATCCTAGTAGATACTCTGCAAGTCACCCAAACATCACATTCACAAACTTTTACGAAAAACATAATTTGGTTGACATTTGGAGACATTTAAATCCAGGATTAACTAAATACTCCTGGTTTAGCGCGAACCATAAATTTAAATCCAGAATTGACCACTGGCTGATTGCTAATCATTTACTATTATATAATATTAGCTCTGATATCTCTGCTGCACCTCTAACAGATCATTGTATGATCTTACTGCAGATCAAACCTAATGATAACACTGTCCACTCACACACATATTGGAAGTTTAACTCCACTTTGCTTAAAAACAATGACTACTGCCAGAAAATCAAATCATTAATTAAAGAAATATCCAAATTGGAGGAACTAATAAATGCTACCAAAAAATGGGAATTTTTAAAATATAAAATACGCTTATTTACCATTTCATTCAGCAAAATTGTTAAAAAAGACAGGGAAAAACAAGAAGTAGACATTATTAATCAGTTAAATATTTATTGCAACAGGCCTAACCCAACTGAAGACGATAGACAGAAGATTCTAAACCTCCAACCTAAACTAGATTAAATTTACAACCGTAAGGCCCAAGGGGCCTTCATCAGATCCAGAGCTAAGTGGATAGAGGAGGGAGAAAAAAATTCTGCATATTTCTGTGGTCTTGAGAAAAGGAGACAGGAAAAAAATAGCATCAGATCCTTAATGGTTAATGATAATGAAGTCACGGATGAAAAATTGATCTCTACTGAAATCTTTAAATTTTATAGCCAGCTCTATAGCTCTAAGTTCTCTCACATGGACTGTGAACTTTTTTTTCTTGAAATAATCAAACATATTCCCCAAGTGGAGGACAGCCTCAAACAAACATGTGATAATCCAATAACAATTAGAGAACTTGATGCAGTGATTGGTCGTCTCTCTCTTAACAAAGCCCCAGGATCTGATGGTCTCACAGGAGACTTTTACAGACACTTTTGGACAGATTTAAGAGACCTACTGTTACAAGTTTTTACTGAAATATTTGAAACCTGTGCGCTTCCACCAACAATGAGACATGGGGTTATCGTCTCAATTCCAAAACCTGGGAAAGATCCCAGAATCATAGATAACAGAAGACCCATTACACTTAGAAATTCAGACTACAAACTTCTAACTTACATCTTCAAGTCTCGTCTCCAAACAGGTATTTCAGATCTAATTGCAGATACACAGTCAGGATTCTTAAAGGGAAGATCAATCCATAATAATATTAGATTGGTAATGGACATCATTGAATATAGAAACCAAATAGAAGATGATGGCTTCCTTCTCTTCCTAGACTTCTACAAAGCGTTTGACTCTGTGGAGCATCCATTTATTCTTTCGACTCTCAAACACTTTGGTTTTGGAGTCAAGTTTATAAAATTTATCGCTGGATTGTATCGTGATATTAATAGTTGTGTCCTACTGCCCAGTGGCACCACCCCAAGCTTCAAGGTTAATGTGGGGATTCCTCAGGGCTGCCCCATCTCACCATACCTGTTCATCTTAGCCACAGAAATGCTAGCTATCTATATTAAGAACTGTAATGATATCGAAAAACTTAATGTACTTGGCACAAACATAATAATTAGCCAACTAGCAGATGACACAACTATATTCCTGAAAGATAGACACCAAATTTCAAAAACTATTGATAAAATTGAAAAATTCTCCAAAGCCTCAGGCCTAACATTAAACATTAAAAAGTGTGAATTACTGGCTATACATGAAACCCCACTGAAAGACATCTGTAATATCCCTGTCAAATCTGAAATTAAATATCTGGGTATCCATTTATCCAAAGACCAAAAACAGAGCCAACTTCTGAATGTAGAAAATAAAATAAAAGAAGGCAAGTCACGACTAAACTTATGGTTGCAGAGGGACTTATCAATACTAGGACGGATCTACCTAACTAAGATGGAATGCTTATCTAGATGTATCTACCCGGCTTATTCCAATGCCATTCCAAAAAGATTAATTAAATCTATCAACCAAATCAACCTAAATTTCATTTGGAGAAATAGACCACATTATATGAATAAAGCAGTATGGTTAAAGACGCAAAAGATGGGGGTCTCAAAGTTATTGATTTTGACTGTCTAAATGGGACCATAAAAATAAATTGGTTAAAATCTTGGATCAAACACAGCAACTCCTTTTGGTTTTGTATTCCAAGGTCCTTGTTCAAGAAAATTGGAGGATTGGATTTTCTTCTTAGAGCGGACTTTAATGTTGACAGATTGCCAATAACACTATCAGAGTTTCACAAACAAATCCTCTTGTACTGGAAAATGTTATATGTGCATAACTTCTCACCCCACACAACTGTTCTCTGGAACAACAGATATATTCTGCACCGCAACAAATCTTTGTTCTTTGAAGATTGGTATGGGAGAAATATATGGTCCATAGTAGATTTAATGGATGCCAACGGAGCCTTTTATAATTATAAACAATTTTGCATTAAACATCATTTCAAACCTTTAGAGTCAGACTTTAACAAATTACATAGAGCACTACCCCAGGAATTTGTTTTTTTAATCAAAAATACTTTGGCATATCATCCAATTCACCCACAATTAGCTACTCTGTCAATTCAAGGGATTAACATTATGGATAGGAAATGCACTAACCATTTTATCAGAAACTGTTTTAATGAATACCTTTACCCTGAAAGACAAAATAAAAATAACATCCTACAAAAATTTGATAAAAGCTCAATAACTAAACTAAGAACAATGTATCTAGCACTTCCTATACCCCCAAAGGTGAAAGAAACACACTTCAAAATAATGAACAACATTTACCCCTCTAAAGAATTATTGAGACTTCGCTTTGGTATAGATGATAACACATGTACGTTCTGTGAAAATGACATTGAAACTACGGACCATGTTTTCTTCTCATGTTCAGTGGTGCAAACATTTTGGAGTGATTTGCATAGGTGGATTAAACAACAACAATTTTCATTCCCAACCGTTATTTCCAGGGACGATATCACTTTTGGTCTAATATTGCAAAGTAAAACTGATGAGCTCTGTATTAATACGATTGTATGTCTAGCTAAATTTTTCATTCATAAATGTAGAATTGTCAAATCATCTCCCGAACTTGTTGTTTTTTTAAACGAGTTTAAGCTATATATAAAATCATTAAAGTTTCTGAAAGGTTCTAAAGCACAAAAAATATATGATACCCTAAAACGCTTCCCTACAGAAGTAAACAGCTAAAACAAAGACTGAATTCTCCCCTCATGTTATACTTTCTTATTTTCCTTTACCTATATTATTGTTTTTATTTTAAAATTATCCTTATAAATTTCTATTTTATTTATTTATTTGGTTTTATGTCTTTGATGTTTATGTTAACAGCCCTCTATAGCAAGTCTATGTTATAGATATATTTCAATCTGTGTGAAGAGTTGTTCCCCCTGGCTATATTTTCTATGTAACCTAACTTGAAGAAACGAAATCTATGCAGCCATGTTTGTCTGTAAATTTTGAAGTTTTCAATAAAAAAAAAAAAAAAAAAAAAAAAAAAAAAAAAAAACTTAAATAACCATAACTTCCTGAATTGTCTAATTGCCGGGGGCTCGGCGCAAGCTCACAGCGTGGAACTTGTCAAGCAGGTCGATCAGGAGCACGTGTGGCGAACGTTTGTGTTGGACGCGGAAAAATTCAAAGCAGAAACATCACTTGAGAGAAGGCGGATTTGGCATAAACTGGTATGTGAATGGTTCGGATGGAAATGGAGATAGGAAATTAGGAAGACGAGGATTTTGAAGGGTGGACGCCTGCGGGAAGAGGGAGAGGGAGAGGTCGTGGAAGAAATAAAACTGATGAAGGAAGGGGAAAAGGTGACAGTCAAGGTAATAAACGGGAATTGGAAGGAAGTAGCTCAGAAGAAAAGAAGAAAGGGTGGTTAGGAGGAAAGTTGTGAGGGAGGAATTTAAAGTAATATTAAAACTTAAAAATGAGGAAGAAAAGG